TTATTTATGTTGCGCAACAAGATGAGGTTCTTAAGATCCAAATTTTCTAGAGTTCAATTGAAGGATGACAACTAAATATCAAATAAACTATTTGAATAATGTGCGAGAGGAACTGGAAAAACTTAAATTACTTAACAAGGAACTAACAAACTAACAAAAAATAAGAAATAGAAATATAAACGAAGGGGAGGACATAGTAAAGTTTATTAATCCACAAAGACTGAGATGGTTTTGACATATTCAAAGGAGAGAAGAAGACGCACTAATTAAGAAGATAACAAACCTTAAATAATAACCTGAATAGTACATTAAAATTGTTAATGGCAGTCATAAAAGATAAAATCGAGGAAAAAGCGAACATGGCAGATGAACAACAAGGCTTCCAGAAGAACCGCAGCACATTAGACGCAATTTTTATTATCAAACAAATAATAGAGAAGTCTACTGAATATGGAAAACCAGCATACATGTGCTTTAAAGTACTTTTGGCAGGGTGAAGCGAAATGACATCTTAAATTTATTACAAGCTGAACAATAGACCATAAGGTATAGATAATAAGGACAATTAATGAAATTAACAAGAACAACACGACCAGAGTTATAATGCCAAAGGAGAAACAGAATGCATAGAACTAAAAGGAGGAATCCGCCAAGGAGACTCGCTCAGCCCATTGTTATTTAATATGGTGATGAATCAAATAATTCATGAAGTAAGAAAACGACACGGATACCAAATGGGAGCGCACAAAATCACGATACTATGCTATGCCGATGATGCAGTACTAATTGCTGATAACGAAGATGACCTACAAAGGCAGCTCCACACCTTCAATATCACAGCAAACTAACTAAAGAATATCAGTAGAAAAAACTAAATGTATAGTGATCAGTAAAGAACCGCGTAGATACAAACTAGAAATAGACGGCAAAATTGTAGAACAAGTAATGAAATTCAATTACCTAGGAGTAGAGATCACTAGTGACAGAAAAATAAAAACAGAGACCACAAGACAAGCATCAAAAGCAGCAAGAGTAAGTGGTTGCCTCCGAGAAACCATATGGAGAAACAAATATCTGACCACGGAAAGCAAAATGAAAGTATACAAGACAATAGCAAGACCAATCCTAACATATGCAGCGGAGACAAGGACCGATACAAGAAAGACGAAACAACAAATCAGAAATATCGAAATGAAAGTATTAAGATCAATAGCGGGCATATCATTAAGAGACAGTCAAACCAACAGAAGTATACGCGAACAATGCAAAATTCAAATATTAACAGGTGGATAAAAACAAGAAAAAAAAACTGGAACGAACATGTAAACCGAATGGGATCAGATAGATTAGCGAACATCTGTAAAAACAACAAACCGTATAGCAGAAGACCCGTTGGAAGACCGCCAAAAAGGTGGAAAGATAATGTACAGTCAACAACGACTGAAACAAAATAAGAGGCAGACAAACAGGAGTAATTCCAGTCGCACGAAGAAGAAGAAAAAGAAGAAGACAAATCTGAAAGCAGTAAATAAACAGACCAAAAGGAAGACATGTTCGCATGTTTTAAATAACATTTTTGACGATTAACGATTTTGACGATTGAAATAATACCAGATGATTTAATTTTTAACTACCAACAAAAATGTAATATATGATGACATGTATGAATTCAATGGTAATACGATATTCACAGATATCGATGATTAAGTACCTACATAATTTCTTTGTCGATAAAAGTGTTTAGATAATATAAATCATTTTTCAATGATATGTATGGATGGAACTTAATTTTTCTAATAACAAATGTTCCTGCAAATGAGTAACTTTGTTTATTTGGTATATTATATTTCGATTGACACAGCAGAGCACTAAAATATTATACATAAAGATGTTGTTAAATATATCTTTGCTTACTTGGTCCACTAGTAATAAAGTTATAGTTTGATAAAATTACTGTCTACACTTGGCAACTGAGAGTGGACACAATGCTAAAAAACTGTAATTTATGTTAGGGTTTGAAAATATTACAGAGTCATCATGTAGAAATCTTCAATTTAGTTAAAAAAGTTAACACAGCAGCATGCCGCAATGGAGCCATCTCTAGGATCAGAAACAAATTAATTGAGAGTAAAGATCAACCTTAAAAAGTTATATATAGCAATATCAATGTGTTAAGAGCGTAGGCGCAAAATTTCGGGCCAATGCTTTTTAAATGCAGTCATTTTTTTTAATCCTGAGAAAACTAACAGATATTTTTAAAAAAATTTAAACGCGGAATGAAAGATTATATTATTACCGAGGGCCGAAGGTCCCTTAGAATAAACAAAAAGTTTTTTTGAATAAGATATTTGAAATTAAAAATCACACTAAATTTTCTCTCTTTTTTCACCACTGTAACTTACTAAAATAAACATGATAGAAGTTTTCAGGGACTTTCGGCCCTCGGTAATAATGTATTCTTTCATTCTGCGTTTAAATTTTTTTTAAAATATTTTTTAGTTTTTTCAGGATTCGAAAACAATGAATGCATTTAAAAAGCATTGACCCGAAATTTTGCGCCTACGCTCTTAAAATATATCAAGAAACTCAACATACCTCTATATCACGTCGAAGTGAATATTGACCTTCACACAATCTTATTGATATATTTAAAATACACGTAATGAGAATCGTAACAACTATTAAAAATGGTAGATAGTATGTTTTTAATATCTGATTAATGAGTATTTGACTGATGCCCAAAGAAGAATCATTGTCGGCGAAAAATATGGTGACGTAGGTCGCAAATCGGTAACCCCACATAAAATCATACACTGCCGCTCTGCTTTCCGTTATCACTGAACCTCCTGTCAATATATCAACACGTCCAGCTGAAATCTAAAATAACACAATTAATATATACACACAACCAAACTTATTTGGAATCACCATGTATGTCAAACCAATATATATTTCAGAAAGACGGTATTAGATTTAATTTCAATGCAGGGCATCGCCTGCTTTGGCGGCCATGAACGAAACGTTTTCGTTCATGACCGTCAAAGCAGGTGGCACCTCTGTACGCTAACCACTGCAGTGGTCAAGTTTTAGGAGACATTCGTTGGACTTTTCGAGTTTGAATTTGTATCAGCCCAAGTGTCTGATGAGACAGGGATATACTGAAATTATTCATAACAAATCATGAATGTGTTGCTTGTGTGAGTCCATTTCAAATAGGTAAAGAAATAATAAATAAGACTTACTCACAATCAATTTAATTTAACTATCCAGACGACCGGTTTCGCTTTCTACAATATGCAAAGCATCTTCAGGTCTCGATACAAAGTTAAATAAATGCTGAAATAATAAAAAACCCATATTAGGGTGTCACAAATTGTTATAAAAAAGTATATTAGTGTTTTTTAAATATTTATAAAATATTTATACATACCATGAGAGATAACTCACACCAGCAATATTTTCAAATAAATTTTGTAAATTTGTTATACATTTTGAATTACACATGTACATGTTTAATTACCAAATAATCACTGTAATTTGTTCTGTAATTTGGACTAAACTAAGTTAGTTATAATAGGGGATGTATTTCAATTATTCGTATTGTTACATTTAAATGTAATTAATTAAAGATTGTTAAAGTATGCCAATATTAAACACATCAATTTACTTTTGATATCTTAATTAAAACAATTTTAGAGACATTCATTAATATCAGCATATTTCATAAAACTGGATAACTTAACTTACAGTATTGAGATATAGAAGAAGAACTGTCACATTTTAACCTACATATGTCAAATTTACCTCTAAAATCTAATAGATAACATAAAAAAACTCATGTCTCCAAGACTGAGATGTAGTGCATAAAGTCTTCCCCTTTTTAAATTTAATGTTTGTTTCGTCCCTTCTAAGTGTTTTCTGTTTCTGTGTGTTTAAATTGTCCTTAATGGTTTTAACTTTAATAATTTTATATACCTGACTTTGCAATAATTTACCATTTTGCCAATAGAACTTTATCAAAGAAATTTGATAATTACAAGTTGAAAGAATTGCACACCCACACAATTTGTACATCTAATCTTATTCATTGTCATAAAACTGTCACCTTCATAAAATAAATACTCAATAAATAACACACATTTCATAAATATATCTCTTGAATAAGTATAAATAACTTTAAATAATACAATGGTATAGAACATCACTTTCATCTAACAAACAATCACATTACACCTATCTCTACTTCATTGGATCAAATCTATCTCCTCAAGAACTTCCCGTTTATTGTCAAACAACTACAATAGCAGACTTAAGTTCTCCATTCAACAATACATGATAGTTTCAACCATGTTCTACCATCCATCAATTAATAGAGTACCGGCATGTAAGTAATGTTTTATTTATTTGCTCATTTATTAATTTATTACAATCTAATAGACTATTTTATAACAATTTGTGGGTCTTACCTTGTCTGTTAAAACTTTTTATACTTTTTATTCCTTTTTATTCATTTTGAAAAACCACAGACATGTAATATTGGCATAATTACTGTAATTTATAACATCTACTTTGTTTATCTTTATTAGACAACACCCTAATATGGGTTTTTTATTATTTCAGCATTTATTTAACTTTGTATCGAGACCTGAAGATGCTTTGCATATTGTAGAAAGCGAAACCGGTCGTCTGGATAGTTAAATTAAATTGATTGTGAGTAAGTCTTATTTATTATTTCTTTACGTATTTGATTCATAACACTTTATTGATACCGATTCGAGCACGGGAAGTTTAACGAATATGTCTTCATAGTCATATTATATATGTATTAAACAATTGTGATCTATAAATATGTATAAGTTAACCGAAATCAAAGAAATCACACTGGCCGATGCCACACTTGAAAGTTTTGACCTTTAGTAATGAACAGTAGTTTTGTTCTGCTTTCAAAGAGTAAAAAGACTTCAATAACCGTTTATACAAAATTAAAAATATATACTTACCTCACGGAGCCCGAGAGTTTTTGCTCCAGTAAGGTTTTTTGCTTTGAACTGTTTAAATCCCAACCTAAAATTAAGCTTTTTTCTCAAAACGTCCAAGAGGTTGTAGTCGGTACCCCACATAACCGTTTTTTCAGATTCATTTCTACAATAATACATTAAAATATAACTAGCACATATTCATATATCATATTTGTTAAAATATTTAAGCATTTTTCTGAAAATATTTTGTAATAATGTCCAAGTTAAGGTTTAGAATTCTTTTGTTGGGTAGTGGGTCATATTAAAAAATATTGAGATGAGCTATTCAATCAAATACTTGAAGTTACGTAAAATAATAACTTAGGTATTTTTACACATTTACTGGACAATTTTAAAAAAGTCATCTTTGGTGATATTTTCAATCCTTTTTGGCAATATCGTCAACCTATGATTTCGAATGCAATAGTGTCTAACAATTGAACATTATACTTAAAAATTATATATTTGCTGAAAAATAACAATAAGTAAGTATTTAAGAATAATATGGACAAATATAGGATTGAACAGTGTTTTCTTTTGTTAGTCCAAGGCAGTCCTCATGTAAGTAACACAAAAAAATGCTGCATAATCTCATATCGGCTACTCTTTCCTTGTTACACACTTTACAAAACCAGTCTTCCTTGGTACTCGAAGAACCATTTGTACAGAAATTGTGTACATATGTGGGAAATTATGAATAATCAAGAGAGTCTTTTTTCTTTGCTACCTTAAAACTTCATAGATTTCCGACAAGCATACGACAGCATTAAAAGGGATCAGATGTGGAATGCACTGGCAGAACTTTCAGTTCCAAAAAAACTTATCCAGCTCGTTAAAGTTTGTGTAAATGGCTGTAGATCTAGAGTGCGGATAGATAACAAGCTCTCAGAGTCGTTTGAAATAAACAGTGGACTGAAACAAGGAGACGCGCTGTCACCTCTTCTTTTTAATATAATAAAAGTAGTAAGAACCGCACAAATTAGAACAGAACTACTGACAGTAAATGGACCAAAATTACTACTAGCATACGCGGATGACATTGACATTGTAGGAAATACCGTCACCAATGTAAAAGAAACTTTCAATAAATTAGAGAGAGAGGCAAAAAATACCGGCCTAAGGGTCAATGAAGAGAAAACCAAATATATGTGCATTAACAGACAAAAGAGACGAGATAGAATAGGACAAAATGTAACAATAGACCCCTATAACTTTGAAAGAGTGGAGAGTTTTAAATATCTCGGAGCGACTATCACCACAGATAACGATATCACGGAAGAGATAAAAGGGAGAATTCAGGCAGCAAACAAATGTATGTATAGCCTCCACAACACTATTAAATCCAAGAGCCTAACACGAACATCAAAAATCAGGATATATAAAACAGTAATTAGACCGGTGGCGGTGCTCATGTATGGGTGTGAGACGTGGACGCTGACAAAAGCAATGGAAAGTAAACTCAGATGCTTTGAGAGAAAAATCCTCAGAAAGATCTTCGGTCCCTATCACGATCCGAATACTAACCAATACCGAATGAGAACAAATGCCGAGGTCAAACAAATGTATAGTGCTAGCGACGTAGTCCGAGAGATTAAATCCCAACGTCTAAGATGGGCTGGCCATGTTCATAGGCTCCCTAACAACCGCCTTACCAAGTCAATCTGGGAAGAAGTCCCGACAGGGAGAAGGCCCTTAGGATGTCCACGAATGCGATGGAGAGATAATATATGGTCAGATTTGAGAACAATGGGGCTACTCACTGACTTAAACATCATGACGACCGTTCGAGATGTAAGCAGGTTGTGCAGTCAGCCAAGACCCACCCCGGGTTGTAGTGCTACCAGAAGAAGAAGAAGATCTTAAAACTGTCTGTATAAATATAGTAAGGTCTATGATTACGTATGAAACACTAATATGGTGGTCTCAATTCCAACAAAACAGCACCAAAAAAAAGCTGAATGAGCTTTAACGACAAACATGTTTGATCATAATATGAGCGATATCGACCCAACAGCCTAGATAGTGTCATGCTTGACCTCCTCTATTATATAAATGGATGGAGAAAGAGGCGAAGATAGGAGCATACAGAAGGCGATTAAGATGCAAGGAAGTAGGGTAAAAGGATACCAAAATCAAATCTGTAGAGATAATTATCTCAAAACACATCTCATAATTTTAGATCAATGCAAATATACAAAAGGCTCTTAAACCGATAAAGAAGTTGGAGCTGGAGTATATGGAGAGAAACGAAGTCTAAACCTTAGTGAAAGCCTAGGTAATCACTCTACTATCTTCTATGCTATATATTTGCAAGGAACTGCAGGGACAGCTGCAATATAAACACTGGAATCGAATCGAATTGACTCCAAGTTAGTTTTAAACTGTCTTCAGAATTTGGTTCGGACCGGAAAAAGAAATAAAGTAAGTGTAGTTTAGATACCTGAACATACTGGTATTGAAGGCAACGGAAAAGCGAACCTATTTGCCAGGGGAGGGAAAAAACGTTACCGGACTAGGTAAAATGGATTAAACGTAACCACTGATACCAACAAGTTAGTCTGAAATACTAGAAGGCGTTTATAAATAAACCTTCGAAGAAGACATTCAAAGGTCAACTAGATATGGATCTAGGGCGCAATGTGATATGTGCATTGTCGTATCACCTAACAGGCCACTATCGATTCAAGAGACACAGGAACAAAATCGGGCTGGTAAAAAGTGTCATTTACAGATTCTGTCAAAATAATGATAAGACAGCGGAAAACGCTCTACCCATGGATGGATAGGATAAGGCTTAATACATTTGAGCATTATCAACTCGAGCCCTGCGACTTCGTAGAAGTGTCACCTAAGGTTATAATAGACTTCATTAAAAAGTCTTGGTGGAAACAATTTTAATTTAGGGATGAGCCACAATAGACCCGTTATGCTAAGTAGAAAGGTGGTAAAGTACCTACTCATATTAAACCCAACCTAACCTAATCATCCTTCTTGATAACAATAACCACCGGGCTATTGTAAAGTCATGAAATAGATCGAACGTCACCTAATGTTAGTATTTCTTGGACTTCCTGATTTGTTTCTTTGTCGTGAAGAACTTGTAGGGCTTGGTGTTGATTGGTCGATTGTCTCTCTGCACAATTTTTATCTTAAGAGCTAATATATTTGGTCGGCATGGACAATCGATACAAACGTTATTGTATTACTGTATTAATTGTTACACCGCATCGAAAGCAAAGATTGGAACCTGACCTGCTTCTAGGTGTTGCATGCGGTTCTGATGAATATCATGGTTTTTCCAGTATAACGCGGATATGGATGTCTCTACATGCAGACATTTTTGCGCCATGTTTACATTGGCCTTTTCTTGTTTCAGCTATAAAATTTCTAATCTACCATTGATTTTAACTGCCGTAGTCTCTGGGCTTTGTATTATCCATGCAACAAGCTGAATCAGCACTGATCGTGTCTGCAGCTCCCTCGTCTGGGTCAGTCTTTTCTATATGAAATTTCTAGAAGTGGCGGTATCCATTAGGACTTTGATTATTCTAAAGTTGAATCTTAATCTTTCCATTTCTGAATCCACTTCTGTCTGTGTAATGGTGGGTCTTTTCTTACCGTTAGTTGTCGTCGTAGAATTGGTGTTTTCATTTCTAAATTGTTTCTTTATGTATTGTTTCCATCTTACAAGTTTTATCAGTTTTAAGCTACGATATTTTAGTTTGAGTCCAAAATTACCCTAGAGCTCCAAAAATAGCAAGAGATAAGTCACCAATCAACAAAAGAAAAATATCGGACGACCGCGAAAAAGATGGAGTGACAACTTTCCATAGAGGTATTAATCCGCCAATCATCATCATCATTGGCTTTTACAACTCTTCGTGAGTTTTTGCCGCGTTTACTATTGCCTTCCATTGATTCCGATCCTGTGCTATTATTTCCCATGGCCTTACTTCCATCTTCTCCAGGTCTTCCCTGACTGCGTCTTTCCACCTTTTTCTAGGCCTTCCTGTCGATCTTTTACCATCTGGTCTTTCCCAAAACACATTACTAATCAGTCTGTCGTCATCACTCCGTACCACGTGGCCTGCCCATTTTAATCTATTGGCTTTTATGTATCTTACGATGTTTCCTTTCCCGAAGAGAGTCTTTATTTCATTGTTGTATCTGCTCCTTCATTTATTTGTCACGCTATCCCTGCAAGGACCATATATAATTCGTAGGATTTTGCGTTTCCATACTAATAGCTTATTGATTTCTTTCTTTCTCAATGTCCATGTTTCACTTCCATATGTCACTGCTGGTCGTATTATGGTTTTGTACATTTGGATTTTGGCACCTTGAGAGAAGCTTTGACCTCATTAGATGTTGAATGGCAAAGAATGATTTATTCCCCGCCAGTATTCGTATTTCAACCTCCCGTTCTCCTGTGTTTTTACTGGTAATTGTTGCTCCTAGGTATTTGAATTCTTTGACCACCTTAAAATTATGATCGTTTATGGTAATGTTTTGTCTTATTCGCTGTCGTTCCTTTTTTGATACGACCATGTATTTAGTTTTTCTTCGTTTATTTTCAGTCCTACGCTTAGTGTTGCTTCTTCAAAGTTCGATACTATATCCTTAACTTTCAGTATTGTCTGTGCTACTGCATCTACATCATCTGCAAATGCGAGAATAATCTTTGCTCCTCTGGCAGTTATGTCTGGTTTGACTCTGGTATAGATTTTTCGCATTGCGTATTCCAATGCTAGGTTAAATAGTAATGGGGACAGCGGGTCTCCCTGTCTGAGCCCGGTGCTTATGCCGAAAGCCTTTGAAGTTTTGCCTCCTATTCTAATTTGTGCAAAGGAATTGTTGACATACATTCGCGCAATCATGGTCAGCTTCTTTGGTACGCCTAACTCCATCATTGCACTCCACAGTTTTAAGCGATCTATGGAATCATATGCTTGTTTGAAATCTATGAAGATCTGGTGTACTTCTTTAATATACTCCCAATACTTTTCTAGCATTTGTCTGATAGTAATATTAATCCGCCAATGAACAAGCAGAATTGCTTATAAAGAAGTGAAGGAGAAGAAAAAGAAGAACATTTATAAGGATCAAAGAGGTTGGCTTACCCATGATATATGCCACGTGGAAATAAAAGATAATAAATTTGAATACTAAATGGTTTAACATATGATATTGAAAACATTTATTAAAAAATAATAATAATACCAAGTAGTAGTAAAGAAAATAGGGCCAGTAATATTTATTTAATTTTCAAACTAAACGTTCTGTATTTCGAAAACTTCAACATTTTAATCAAGAACATCTTATGTTGAAGCAGAAAATGTTCTGTTATTTTATATCTGATTTTTAGGGGGACACCTTATGTACTAAACTAGTCTTAATACTGCACTTAATGTTTTACCGAAATTGTGAAATTTGGAAAATATTTTTAGGTTATATTGTACATAATAAACATAGCTTACTTTATGGAGATATACGGAGGGGCGTCATCAAAAGCAACAATTAGTTTTCGATTTTCAAAGTTTTTAAAATAAGTGTCTATTTTCGTTCTCATAAAATTGTAAACATCATGAATATTTTTTCTTGAATCGAAGAGTATACTATTTTTTAGATATTTCCTACTGTGACCGCAAAAATAAAGAGTTTTTTGCTGTAAATCATAGACAAAGGTAGGAAAAATCTGAGTCCCTCGAAGGCTGCAATGTTCCGGTGATACTTTACTTATGATTATTAATGCCATATCCATTTTCAACAAATTACCGGAAGTGTTTGCAAACTTCTCGTAGTCACGAAACTCATATAATAGGACTATGTTAATGTAGCTTCTATCATCTGGTCTCAAAGGGATATTGGTATGGTCTAGGTTGATAATAACTATACCTAAAATGGGTATTATACTTTATTTACTCAATTCGTGGTGTGATATAAGGAAACACATAAATCTTAAAAATTTAAATCAAATTATGTTACATGCCTTTGGCTCGTATTTGGTTTAATGCATGATATTAGTAAAATAATCATTAAGCAAGATAATTTAAATTGTTTTTGTAAGTAATCAAATATATAAAAGACAAAGACATATACTTTATTAAAGAAGTCTAGAATAAACAGAACTAGAAACGCCCAAAGAACAAGAAGAAATAATAAATTGCATATCACTAAGAGAAAGAAATGAAATGATCCGAAAAAGTTTACCAAAGAAAGCATCTGGTCCAGACGAAATCACTAACAGAGCCCTAAGGCAACTTTTTTCGAAAGCAATTGTATATCTGACAAACATAACAAACGCAATACCGATGGAAGGAAGCCCATGTAATCATGATACCAAAGCCAGGAAAGAACCACATATTTCTGCAAAATTACAGGCCGATTAGCTAACTTTCAGCAGTCAGTAAGATAATAGAGCGAATCGTTCAAACCAGACTCCAATCAGAGACAGACAGGCTATGGTTAATCCCGGAGACACAAGTCAGCGAACTACAAGTACTCAGACTTACAGAATACATAGCCGCGGGATTTAATGACAAGTAATATGCAGAAGCAGCCTTCCTGGATGTAAGCAAAACCTTCGTTATAGTGTCGCATGAAGGACTGACATAAAAAATGATATATTATTGATGCAGCGGGAACATGACTTTTAATTTAATCCGCCTTTATGTAAACGACACTGCTTCTTCTTCTTCTTCAGGTGCCATCTCCGCTACGGAGGTTGGCAATCATCATAGCTATCTTAATTTTTGAGGCAGTAGCTCTAAATAGTTGTTTTGAGCTGCATCCAAATCATTCGCTCAGGTTCTTCAGCCATGAAATTCGTCTTCTTCCGATGCTTCTTCTGACATCTATTTTTCCTTGCATTATGAGTCGCAGGATGCCATACTTATCGCCCCGCATCACATGTCCGAGATACTGTAGCTTTCTTTCTTTAATTGTAAGTTCAATTTCCTTCTCTTTGCCTATTCTTCTCAGTATTTCATTGTTTGTAACTCTATCTACCCAGGAAACCCTCATAATTCTTCTATAGGTCCACATTTCAAAGGCGTTAAGTCGTCTCATGGTATCTAGATTTAACGTCCATGATTCCACTCCATAATATAGTACACTGTATACGTAACATTTTGTTAGGCGTACTTTAAGAGCTAATGTTAGATCTTTGCCACATAGGACCTTTTTCATTTTTATAAAATTAGAACGTGCTTTTTCGATTCTGACTTTGATTTCTGCCGTGTAGTCATTATTTTCTGTTATAAGTGTTCCTAGGTAAGTGTACTTTTTTACTCTTTCGATCTGCTGGCCCTCTACTATCAAGATTTCGTTAGTATTATAGTTGTTTTTACAAATTTTCATAAACTTCGTCTTTTTGACATTAAGAGAGAGAGAGAGAGAGATTGAAACTGCAATTGCGACAAAACATAGAAACTTGGATATGGCTATAAGAAATCTACAGATAGTACTGGATACGATAGAAGAATTAACCATTCAATGGAAAATAGCAGTAATTTTAAAAAATACCCAACTTTAAAAAGAAAAGACATTACCAAAAGAACAGCTAACAGTGCAAGGCAGATCCCTCTAGTGACCAAACGAAGCTAAATAACTAGGAGTCACAATGGACGAAGGTCTAACATTCACACCACTTATAAACGACAGAAAAACTCCACTCCAGAAAACAGCAACGGTCAGAGCCGCGATACCAAATGGGAGAAAAACAAAACAAAACAATCATCAGACCAATAATGACATACGTGGCAGAAACACGACCTGACATAAAGAGGACAAAAGAATGTTAGAAACAGCAGAGATGAAAACATGTCATGTCTACATAAAAAAGAAAAAGATCTACAGGAAGACATGCAGGAATAAACAGAATTTATAAAAGTTTAAGGAAATACTATTTTTGAAATGGTTTACGGAGAGATCTTGAAGAAATATGTCCAAGGCATAAGTACTCTATCATGACCAAAGAATACCTGACGATCACATCGACAACCACCATCGTATTTGACACGACATCTATAGACCTGGTAGGCCCATTTGAGATGATAATGGGAACAGATGTGTTTTGACGCTACAGTGCGAGTTAAGCTAATACACAAGGATATGTAATACAAAACAGTAACTAAATTATTAGTAAAACATTTTTATTTTGAGGTATGGAGCATCCAAAGGAGTAGTAACAGACCAAGGTAAAGAGCTTATGACAAAAAAATTTAAGAAAATATGCGTTTTGACACAATTAAAGCAATTAAACTCCACAGCGTATAAACACGAGACAATTGGAGCTTTAGAAAATGCTCAGAAGCATTTAAGTGTTATCTTCTGTAAGCCGTATTCATTGTTTGCCAGCTTTGTAAAAGAACCGAAACAAAAATTAAAAAGATTAAGGTTTTTGCGTCAAAAATTATAAGGTCAAAATTATAAGGGTGCCTGTTTTTTGTGTCAGTAAGTGAGTGTTGTGTATAAGAATAAAGGCAAAAAACAAAAATTGTACGAATTACAATCGACTTACTTACTTAGAAATATGAGCTAAACACTTACCTCTTGTTAAATGGGATGATATGCCTCCCATAAATAAATTCAAATATTCAGCAGTGGAGTTGTCTATAAGAAAGATCTTACCGTAATTATTAAATTTTGTCATTATATTTATCATCCTGGTCGAAGCTTCACGTTCAGGATATACATCAGGAAAGTTTGACCAATTAGCAGCTAAGGACGACGACACAAGTAATAAAATTATTATCATTGTTTTGAGCTAAAATTAAAATAGTTTTTAAAAAAGATAATAAAATTGTATACAGGGTGTTTCAAAAAGGTATGTTGTTGTTGTTTGTTCGTGTTTAAATGACTGCGGACACTAAATCCATTCGCCAATCTTACAATTTGAGGTGTAGTGTGTGTGTGTGTGTGTAGAGTAATTGTCTTGATACTTAGCAAAGTCGACGTCATTGTCTTTGCTAAGAGACGCTAATTGTATCCGAACGTCTGCGGTCCCTCCGGTGTGTACCGATCACACAAGGATAGAAATTATTTTCATTTATTAATTTTTTTAATAAACGAAAATTTCCACCCAGGTGGAATTCGAACTCACGACCTTTAGGTTTAAAGGCAGGCGCTCTTACCACTGAGCCACAGAGGGGGTTTTCAAAAAGGTATGTCATAAATTAAATTACATTCCGGGGACAAAATAAGTTGATTGAATCCAACTTACCTTAGTACAAAAGTGTACACAAAAAAAGTTACAGCCCTTTGAAGTTACAAAATAAAAATTGTTTTTTTGCGTTATCTACTAAACTACTTGACGTTTTGTAATAAAAATGAACACGTTGCTTTCTTGTTCTGAAAGAATTTTTCATACACAAGAATCAACAAAATCTAATCGCACAGAAAAATTTTAAGGAGAATGTGCAGCCCTACATCCCCCCAAACTTTTGAGTACGTTCAAATCAAATAAAGTTTGTGGCATAACTAGTTTAACACATTATTTTTAAAACTTTTTTGCCTCTTATCACTTTTTCGAAAAACTAGTTTTTTCCTTCTTCTTCAGCCTTCATTTATCCAATGTTGGACATAGGCCTCCTCCAATTGCTTCCACGCTTCCCTATCTTTTGCAATTCTCATCCACTGCTTTCCAGCTACAGCAGTTATATCGTCTATCCATCTCTTTTTAGGTCTTCCCACGCTTCTTTTTGTTTCTCGAGGTCTCCAGAATGTCACTTTATGAGACCATCTGTTGGTGTCTTGTCTTGCTACATGTGCTACCCATTGCCATCTCAATGTCGCTATTTTTCCCATGATGTCGGTTACTTTAGTTCTTCGACGTATTTCGGTGTTAGGAATTTTGTCTCTGAGGCTTATATTTAACATGGCCCTCTCCATGGCCCGTTGAGTTACTCTTAATTGTTCTGCCATTTTTCTTGTTATTGCCATAGTTTCCAATCCATAAGTTGCAACTGGTAGTATACAAGTGTCATAGGTTTTTCGTTTTAAGTGAATTGGGATTTTTCTGTCTTTTAAAATGAAGCTCAACTTACCAAAAGCAGCCCATGATAATTGTGTCCTTCTTTTAATTTCTAGGGTTTGATTTTCCTTTTCGTTTTTAATTGCATGTCCTAGATATATACATTGTTCTACCTTTTCTATATTGATGTTATCTATCGTGATGTTTTCTAGGCTGTTGCTTAATATCTTTGTTTTGTCGAGATTCATTTTTAATCCTATTTGATTCGATTTGTGATTTAAATCTTGTAGCATTGATTTTAGTTCATGGATATCTGTGCTTATTAGTACTATGTCGTCTGCAAAACGCAAATGGTTAAGATATACTCCATCTATTTTTAATCCATTTTCGGCCCAATTTAGTTGTTTGAAAACATTTTCTAATGCCAAAGTAAATAACTTGGGTGAGATGGTGTCGCCCTGTCTCACACCTTTGCCAAGGTCTATTTTCATAGTTTCCAGATCATCATCTATTTTTACGTGAAAAGTAGCATCATCGTATATATTCTTAAGGAGGGCAGCATATCTTGAATCTACTCTGGCGTCGTCCAATGCTGTTAAGAAAGCCCATTTCTCGATACTGTCGAATGCTTTGTGATAATCGACAAATGCCAGATGTAGTGGTATGTTGTACTCTATTGTTTTTTTCAATAATGGTCCGAATTGTTTGCAAGTGATCGATAGTGCTAAAACCCTTACGAAAGCCTGCTTGCTCCACTGGTTGGTATGCATCTAGTTTAGCTGTCAATCTATTTGTTATTATTCGGGTTAGTAGTTTGTAAAGGTGTGACAATAAGCTTATTGGTCGGTAGTTTTCTATATTTGCGGCGTCCCCTTTTTTATGGAGTAGAGTAGTTTTTTCCTAGTTGGCCATAAAATTACAATTAGTTTCTACAGAAACAACAATTACAAAAAGTTCCATCAATAATAGTCATAATGACTTACTTGGCTATCATTTATTGTGTGAATAAGATTAATATTAAAAATTTTGATATTACAATGGCCTACACATTTCAGGAAATGGCAGATATGCATTTAACTTTGGTTAAGTTGGATCGTGTATATACTTTCTTGAGGAATATATTATAACCTTTCGAGACTGGCTGAATGACGAAAGTCGATGCCACAAAAAAAAAGTTGGATCAGATTAAATTATGATTTCAAAAAACTATTAGGAATATCGTAGGTGAATGTCAAGGAAACAGTGCAGCAGCCGCAAGGCGTTATGCAGTAAAATACCCCAATCGAAATACACCCGATAGACGATTATTTCTGACCATTGATCGTCGTTTACGGGAAACGGGTACATTCCAACCGCAAGTTGCTGGCAATAGTCGTCGTCCAATAATGGATGCAACTGATTGTCAACGACATTTTAGAAATCATTGAAGAAGTCCCTGGAACAAGTACAAGGGTAATAGCTGCTCAACTAAATGTTCCTCACGTAAGGGTTTGGAGGCGCTTGAAGGATCAGCTGCTTAAACCATATCACTTAACAACGGTTCAAGAGTTATTGGTTGAATATTATCCAAAAAGGATTGGATTTTGCGATTGGTTGTTAATGGAAAACACTCGAAATGTTAATTTTATTAGAATTGTTTTGTTTGCCGATGAGGTTACCTTCAGTAGAAATGGAATAACAAACCATTATAACGAGCACATTTGGGCCGACGAAAATCCTCTTCTTCTTCTTCAGATGCAAATCCACTAATGGATGTTAGCGATCACATTTTCCATTAACTCTCTATTTCTTGCAATATGTATCAGAGATTGTATGTCGTTAATCCCTGTCCATTGCCTTATGTTTCGGAGCCAGGACATTTTCTTGCGTCCCATTCCTCTCTTGCCTTCAATTTTACCCTCGATTATAAGTTGGAGGAACTGGTATTTTTCATTTCGCATGATGTGACCTAGATACGCCGTTTTCCTTTTCTTGATGGTTTCGAAAAGTTGGCGTTCTTGGTTTATTCTTTTAAGGACATCTATATTTGTGATTTTCGCTGTCCATGGTATTTTTAGGATACGGCGATAAAGCCACATTTCGAAAGCTTCCAATCTGTTTATATCCCTCGTTTTGAGTGTCCAGCCCTCTACGCCATATAGCAGCACTGACCATACGTAGCACTTAGTAAACCTTAGTCTCAGTTGAAGATCGAACTCAGAACAAGTCAGTACCTTCTTGAATTTTACGAAAGCTTGTCGAGCTTGCTCAATGCGACATTTTACTTCCCTGTCCGATGCCCAGTCTTCAAAAAGCCACGATCCCAGGTATTTAAATTTACTCACTCTTTCTATGGATTTACTATTCAGTGTTATGGTGGAGTTTTCAAATGCATCCAAGTTTCTGGAGATGATCATGAATTTGGTCTTTTTGGTATTAATCTCTAGTCCCATTCGCTCACTGTATTCTCCGATTATAGTGACAAGTTGTTGAAGATCGACTATGTTGTCACAAATTAAGACACCATCATCAGCATATCGTATGTTGTTGATCAATACTCCATTCACCTTGATTCCCATCCTGCATCCTCCGAAATCCTCACGCAAAAAAAAACGACTCATCACCAAAGGACTTTCAAAGTTAATGTTTGGGCAGGAATTGTGGATAACAATCTAATAGGCCCAGTATTTCTTCCCAACAATTTAAATGGTGATAATTATTTGCAGTTCTTGGCAAACGATTTACAAGAGTATTTGGAAGAAGTGAATATTGCAATAAGGCAAAATATGTGGTTTCTACAAGATGGCGCTCCACCGCATTACAGTAATGAAGTCCGGGAATACCTTTGCAGGCAGTATCCTGGTCGGTGGATTGGAAGGGGTCGTGACGCACCTATTTCTTGGCCACCCAGAAGTCCAGGTCTTAACCCCATGGACTTTTGCTTTTGGGGTTTATGAAAGAGAAAGTGTATTCTGTAACAATAGAGGACGAACAACAATTGAGGGTTAGAATAATTGAAGCTGCAAATCAATTTCGTCAGAAAAATATGATTTTTCAGCGCATTCGGTTTTCCTTATTAAAACGATACCGAATGTGTATTGAAGAAAATGGGGTCATTTTGAACATTTATTGTAATATCATATTTATAGAGGTTATAGACATTTTTTGTACTTGTTAATTCATTTAAGCCATTTATTTAGTTGCACGTAATTTTTTAAAGGTTAATGAAAAGGGCCGTAACTCAATAAAAACTGTTTTTTGAAAAAAGTGATAAGAGGCAAAAAATTTTTAAAAATAATGTGTTAAACTAATGATGCCACAAAATTCATTTGATTTGAACGTACTCGTTAAAATTTGGGCGTGATTTTGTGTGCTTAGATTTTGTTGTTTCTTTTTATGAAAAATGCTTTCAGAACAAGAAAGTAACGTGTCCATTTTATTACAAAATGTCAAGTAGTTTAGGAGATAATGCAAAAAAACAATTTTTATTTTGTAACTTCAAAGGGCTGTAACTTTTTTGTGTACACTTTTGTACTAAGGTAAGTTGGATTCAATCAATTTATTTTTGTCCCCGGAATGCGTGATTTAATTTATGACATACCTTTTTGAAACACCTTGTATACTATGCCATATGTTTAACAAAACGAAGCTTACTTAGTAGTAATAGTAAATAATGTTTATTATGGTTTTAAAACTATTCTCTTGTGGCGTGTTTTTCAATAAATCTTTTATGCATGAAAATAAAATACAATGAATTGCAATAAAAATTACATTTTTGACATTTCAACTTTAATATAGTTTATTGC